GTGTCACAGGTGAAAAAAACCAAAACGTAATAAGATATGAATTCTATTATAATATATTAATTTTGTTCACCTTATTTTAAAGTGTACCATTTTGAGTATGTGTGGACTGGAGAGGGGGGGGGTGTTATAGAATTGCACATGGTATAGAATCCTCCCCTCATCCCCCGCAAATATTACGGATAGTACGACGTGGCAAAAATTCCTGCTCCTCCAGAGACACCATCGAGAGATACTGTGGCGCTGCTTCCGTCAACTTCGCACGGGCGGCCAGCGGACACGTCCGCGTGATGCTCTCAGGTTCGAACCCCGAGCTCAAGGCCTATAGGTGGGACAGCTACTTGGAGAAGTACGAGCTGCCCAACATGACGGACACGGGGAACAAATTCACAGCACTCATCATCCACGAGAAACAAAACTTCACAAAGTAAAGTACAAGAAACATAAAGTATGATCTTCGCCTTGAAAAAAAAAAATCCCCAAAAACTTGATACAGAGGTTCTCATAAGAATTTGCAGTCTACGGATTATAATTGCATGAGAGTAGCGTGCCCACTGTAGTCTAACAAGTTGTGTGGAAAAGCTTTTTCTTTCTAATTCTATTTGGGGAAGTACGAGCAGGCCAACATGACGGACAAGGTGAACAAGTTCACGGCACTCATCATCCACCAGCTGGACAAACCTGTGCTGGAGTCCTGTGGAGACAGGAGTCTTTAAAAAAAAGTTTTAGTAGAGGTTTTACGGCGCTCGCAACTGCCTAAGGTCATATGAGCGCCAGAAGATTAGAGGTGTTACAAGAGAGGAAGAAACATAAAAAAGAAGGTTAGATAAGGACAATAAATAGATGTTTCATAGGAAAGAAGAAGCAAACCACACCAGAGCACCCGCCAACCACCCACTGACGTGCTGGACCTGGAGGCTGACGTCACAGTCAAGAGATTTGAGTACATCTGTATCGATAACCCTCCTGCGGTCGTCCACATCCTGTGCTCGGAGAACCCGGACACTGCTGAGTGTCAACTGGACAACTAAATATAGCATTGACGTCATGGCAGGAGATCTAGACCAAAGCAGCGTGCCTAATTGTTTTGCATCTAACTGTTGGTGCCTTTCTAAACAATAAATGATTGCTGTCATTCATAAATCCAAACTGTGGGCCTGGTATGATTGCAATTAATTGTTCTCTTGGTGTTAAAAAAAATAAAATTCATATTGTCTGATTACTTTTTTTAAATGTTGGTGATTTTAATGTCCCCATTGAGACAATCTCGATATTTTAGGAGGTGGGTTTCCAACCCTACCTATCAGGGCTAACCCGGGATGAGAGGGATACATCACAGAAGACACATTGATATACTCTATGAAAATCCCCATCAATCCAGAATAGTTCTCGGGTCTCCTGAATGCGACAGCAAAGCACTTAGCCTCTACATCACAAATGCCGGTTCCGATTACTCAGACATCATTTGGTACAGATGTTCTTCAAAGAATTTGAGATCTACGCTGTTCATCTTTCGATTCGTCAGTTGAGGAGTGATAATTCTGCATTGCAAAAGCATTTTGAGCTCCTAAGGATACGCATGATATAAATTATTATTATTTTTTCCAGTAATATTTAAGTATACTTATTCATACAGTATAAGAGAAAAAGGCAAAACAATTTTGTTCTTTTTCTTTTCAATCTTTTAATTAGCATTCAAAATATATAATCTGACTTCTTGTGATATGAACTGGTATAATGGTTATGAATGAAGAATCCGATTATTGAACAAAATGAGTGTGACTAACAAAATACTACTGTGTTTGACAGCTCTGTGCTGGACAGTAATGTGCAGCCTAGTTGTGAGTCAACAACCCTGTAAACATTGAAGACTGTGTTCAAGAGGGCGGGACATCTGAATTTGAAGCCCATCTCCAATAGGTACAAAACAAGAGGATGGGGAAACTTAATAACAACACATGTTTAAGAACAACCTGCTAGAAAACCAAACCATCATTATGAATCAGCTCCGAAGTGAAACATGAAATAAGAATATTTGTCTACTTTATCATATATATATGTCTGAATTACATAAACAACAGGTGAAGATCAACTCAACATGCACATTCATGATTGTCATAGGAAAAATTGCTAGTTTTCAGAAAAAATCCAACAACTGACTCTAGTAAAGGATAACATTCTTTCAAAAGAATAGAACTTAACTAATAGAAAAATCTATTACTCTGCAGACTGTAGCTTGTTTTCCTCATGTAACCCCCCCAAAAAAAAACCAAAAAAAAAAACAACAACAACCAAAAAACAAAAAAAACGCCCTATCCAGCACTCACCACACTATCTCACTATCTCACTATGATGGCAGCAAAATAAATATAATCTTTTAGAGCATCTGTTTCCCTTTGACTTCCCCTAAAAATTAATGAAAAGGTTATAGTTGGGACTCCCAGTACATGTGACCCGTAACAAGAAACATTGTTGAAAATAAAAAACTAATCTTAATGATAAAACCCTGGTCTGATCCTGATTTAATAAGATTTTTTCGTAAGTACCCGCTACAGTTAAAAAGCAGGGAGTTTAAAAAGTAAAATTTCACATTTCATAAATGAAAATAAAGAAGTCACAAAGCATCAACAGAGAGTCAGCCTCTACCAATAAAGGCACCTAAAATATACTCTGTACCTTCCAACATCTTATTTTTGAATAGCAACCAATCAAAAAAGCATGTGGTCAAATCACATCCAATAACAACCAATCAAAAAACACGTAGCTGAATTGCATCCAATAACAACCAATCAAAGATCATGTAAATAAATCACGTGGTTGTCCAGTCATAAATTGCCTTCTCCCGGATAAACAGACCACGAGGGCCGGAGACGTCAGGTGGAAGCAAACACAAGTACAGGGGAGTCACGGCACCTGTGGACAGACAGCAGGGAGAATGTATAAATTCTGTAATATTTGTATATAAAAGTACAGTTGTTCACGCATCCGATCTGGTCATTGGGGACCGCCTTGTCAGTGAAACAACTTCCAGGGCCATCGGCATATTGTGGTAGGGTGGCCAGTCACTTTCCATATCGCCTTTACTTTCCCAACTCGAAGTCAGGTACCTATTACTGCTGGGTGGGCAGGTGGGGGCAAAAAGAATCCGTGTCCGAACCGAGGCTCGAACCCGGACTTTCTGCTTCAGAGACGAGCGCACTAACCGCTCCGCCACCGCACCATCATTTTTATGTAGAGTGTAAATTGTCTCAGATGGTCACCCAATGTCGAGGAAAAATGTGGTTGTTTTAAATAGGAGGGTGTCTAATATGTGAGGCAGTATGTGTGAAATCAGGCGCTCGTCAAAATAATGAAAGTCAAGAATTTGGCATTTTTCAGCATGTTTGAGAATTTTCATCAAATTTTTGTTGCAGGTACATGCATACATAAATACATAACAGTGAATACATACATACATAAAAACATACAGTACACCAGTACAGAACAATTTACAACCATGCCCTTGCCGGTCGTCACTGTGCAGCGTCCTATATTTTGAGCTAGGGTTGTCGTGGCTTGCTCAAGGACACACCCCAGTGACCAACCATCTAAACCCTGTGTGCACCAATTTGCTTCAATACCACTGTCAGAGCAGAATCATCACTTGAAATCTATTTCAGACTGCTCCCATTGATACAATTTAGATCATTTAGGAGACAGGGCTTCCGACTCTACCTGTCAAGGCCAAACGGGGTGAGTAGGATACAACATCCCAGAAGAGAGACTGAGATACTCAAACTCAATAAAAATTCTCCCTGCTCAGGAATCAAACTTGGGTACTCTGCGTGCGACACCAAAGTGCCTAACCACTACACCACAGACCTGGAAATATAAAACTAATTTTGACCTGTGAAACAATAAATTGCTGGAGGTAATGAATCTCTCTCTCTCGCTCTCACTCTTTCTCTCACTCTCTCTCTCAACCTCTCTCTCTCTCCCTCTCTCTCTCTCTCCCCTCTCTCTCCCTCTCTCCGTCTCTCTCTCTCTCTCTCTGTCTGTCTGTCTCTCTCTCACTCTCTCTCTCTCTTTCTCTCTCTCAACAAACTATAATAACTTGACTCACCCTCCTCCACAGTAAGGGGACCTTTGCCCTGTGTCATGTCTGTGTTCACGTAGCCTGGGGAGCACTGCAAGTAGGAACAACAGCAGGACAATGAGAAATAAGACAGGCTGGACTTTGCAGGGACTCCCACCAAGTCATTTAAATCTGATTCTTCTACAAGAACACTTTCAAGTATTTTTTGGAGATTGCGTATCATCAGCCAGCTGTTCTGATGTACAAAGTAACGCTCATAAATTTTTTATTAAAAATTTTATAGCATTTTCTTAATTAATTTGTGGCGTCGGTTGCATGCGCTCGAAAAATGTTTTGTCAAAACTCAAATTTTAAAAGTTTAAAAAAGCAAAAAAAGCATAATACATGCATAATTGTAAGAAGAATGAGATGTTGGGATTTTTTGGGGGGGTTTTTTCATTTGCCGGAAATTTTTTTCTCTCTGGATTTTAGAACAGTTGGAACTGTTTGCCACCTATATTTGTTTTAAAATCTGATTCATCTATAAGCACAAAAACCGATTCAAGTACTTTTTGGAGAGAGTGTATGAGTATGAGCTCAAGGGTTGAAGTAGGCTACATTCAATATCAACAGAAAAATTGACAGTCTTCTATGACAAAAGCGAAGTGTGAGGATGGCTCGATTTCTTTGATGATCAGTCCAACCTTCTGTCTTTCTTGGGTGACAATGTTCAAACGTTACTGCTGTTTTTGATAAACACTGACTTAAACTTCATTACAAAAAACAAAGAATTATAATAGAACAAATCCGCCAATCAGTTGGAAGAAAATGCAAATTTTCTATTTTTTAATATTGGTACAGTGAACACTGGCTGAAGCACCAAAATGATATTTTTACAACATGACCTGCTTTTTAGGGTACTAGGTATTACTGATGTGAAAGGAAAAATGTAAAATCTCAAAAGACTAGATTTTATACAAAATCAAAAGGTTGAGACTTTTTAAAAAAATCACCAGTAGCCTATAATTCAGTTCCTGGCTGCATCCAAAGGGATGTTTTAACCTTAGAAATGCTTTTTGTCCTACTTCCCTAGCTTCACTCAGTTGCACATACATGCAAAAATGGTGAAATCGTACACTATTAGGTTATTTAAGAGGTGGAACCTCTAAGTTGAACGTCTGTCTCCTGAAGTGAGAAATTCACATGAAGTGCCTTTCATAAGGACACAACATCGGATCGAGCTGAGGCTCAAGCCCCTTAAAACACATAACCTCACGATTATGAGTCTGGTAGCCTAACCACTAGGCTACTGATACCACTAGACAGGCCCAACATGTAGTATGTAGGTCTTTGTCAATTAGTAGAGACAGAACACAAAAAACATTGGGATATGCACTTAGCAGTAACAAGTCGCAACACTCTTCGTCTAATGAGGAACTAAAACAATCAGTACAAATAAACAGGCCAACAAATGGAGTCATTACAAAGTTTTTAAAAAATAAAAAAAATAAAGCCTCAACAACTCTTGTTTTAGTTTTAGTAAGAGTTTTACGGTATTTGCAAAACAAATATGTAATACAAGTGCCAAAGATTAGAGGTGCTATTAAAGAGTAACATATGTAGAATGTTTAATAGGAAAGGAGGAGCAAACCGCACCGGAGCACCCGGCAACCACCCACACCAACAATTTAAACTTACTACTTTAACCTTTATTTTTGTGTAGCAGTAAAAAACATAAAACTTACACTATTGACCACAATATCGACAGCTCCTTGAGCATCAAAGTCCCTCTGCTGTATTGCCGACATCAAAGTCAATCCAATTTTGGAGATGCCATAGGATGACACTCTGCTTAGAAAGAAGCCTTGCTCCTCATGCTTATTCTCCTGTGCAGCACTAAAAAAAGATAGCAATAGACATGAGATAAGATAAGATATGATAAATCTTTATTGTCCAGATGCTGGCACATTGATTTGGTGTTGCACACACGCACACACATACACGTCCATTTGCGCATGCATACAACACCGAAGCACACACCCTCTCTCATGCAAACTCTCTTTCACATACATCTACATAATATTTGCTTGCAGTCACAAACAGACCCACATACACGCAGGTGATTAAAATGAAAAATTATCGCTAACAATAATGGAGTTTATTCAAACTAGACACATAATCAGTATTTTTAAAATAATCCAAGACACATGCATAAGACACTAAATTATTGAGAGCAGCTGCACTAAGATTTTACTGGATGGTGACTTCCTATGTTCATTAATAAAAACATCAAACAAAGAAAAACAAATTAGTGATAAGAAAATTGTCTAAATTTCAGAAAATGTCAAATGATAAAGATTATCGAGACCACTAAAAAGAAAGAATATCAAAGAAAGAAACAAAAAAAAGACTAAATACCAAATCAAATCTGTGCCTGCAATAAAATGATCCCCCCTTGTGACGGTTCTTTTACACGGTACATCAAACAACCTGAGCTTAGATGCCGGCCTCCCATACAATTTACCTCCTCAAATAAATGCACAAAACGAGATTTCATTACCATTTTCCAATACAGATAGCAAATGAAAGATTTGATATCTGTGATAACAGAAAAACGGGTAGCAAAATCTTTAACTTTGAAAGAGATCCCAAACTGACAGACACTAGCACCTCTTCGTCCTAGCCATAACAAAATTTGACAGAGTCAATGTTGTAAAAATCAAAACAAAACAAAACAATGTCACAAAGGGACTAAACTATTACGAAACATTTCAAATATTCTGGTATAGAAATAACTAACACTTTTTTACAGACAAAGCAGACGTCACCGAGCAGCTAAATATTGGACAGCCCCTTTCCCCATTTTTCCACATTCTGACTTTTAATCAAACTTGGCATATATATTGAAGTGTGGGTTTTTTTGTTTTTTTTTAAAATGGAGATTACTTACTCCACAAATTGGGTCATCAAGCTCGATACCTCTGGCATGGTGATCTGAGGATTAAGAAATTTCGTGCGGAGCTCCGGGGATAAAACCTTGAAAGCAATTGCATTTGCCAGACTGGACATGTTGCAGACCCTGCCGAGAAAACAGAAAGAACTCAAAACAATGTGTGCACTCATCACACAAACAATTTGAGGACACAAAAAGAAATAGAAAAAAAAAGTACTAAGTTCAATCTCAGTTTCGAGTGCCGTAAAACACTTATCAAAACTAAAAAACATATACAATGTATCTCACATTGCACTTTCAAAACAAGAAACAGAGCAATCCTTTGTGCTATGAAGGACAATAATGAATAGCTCTAAGCTGTCACCAAAGAACAGAGTTTCCATCCTTTATGTAGATCAGCCAAAGTGTTTCTTGGAATCCAAAGTGAAGCATAATAATTTTCATTGTACAAACATTCTGCTTTAATTACAACTTCTTCTAGGTTTTATGCTGTATGCATATTAGTTTTTTTAGTTTAAGTAAGAGTTTTCCGGCACTTAACACAAATAGGTCATATAGGTGCCAGATTAGAACTAGAGAGTAAAGTAGAAAGGAAAGAAGGATGAGAGGTAAGGACAAAAGATAATTGATAAGGAAAAAAAGAGCAAACCACACCAGAGCACCCACAAACCAGTCGCCAAAAGGCTTATATTGTAGCTTTGTCAAAGATGAAAGGTGAACTAGGGTGCTTTAACGGAAACTTTCATGGCACTTCTTTCCACTTCAGCAAGTTGACTGATATCAACATATGTGTCACAACGTGGTGATATCAGGCGCTCATCAGTTTTTGGGCATGTGGAGTTATTGGTACCATCTTAAAGCTTAATCATTTGTCTAGCTTTTGGTGAAAAAAATTGACATCTACCAAGAAAAGAAGTCGAGATATTAGCAATTGAAGAAAGTTGGGGTCATCTGATTCAGGGGTAAAATTAGCAAGAAAATGGCCGCCAAAGTGTGGAGACTTCCAAAGCTTGAGAGTGCTCAGCCTTTTTTAAGGACCTCTAAGCGAGTATCGAGTTCCTGCATGCTGTCGGTATTGCTGACCACTTATAACACCACATTGCCAGTAGAAGGGGAGAGAGAGAGAGAGAGAGAGAGAGAGAGATTGGAAACTGCAAAGATACATTTTTCGTGCCTTGAATCAACGCTTTTCAGTAAAATCCACACATAAATATTTTTTAGGAACCTTAAAGGCGTTGAGTTAAAGAACAAAAATTTGAAAAAAATTACCAAACAAGCGGAACAATTTTAATTTCTTCTATTTCATTATTTTGACGAGCGCCTAATTTCACCATGATGCCTCACATGTGCATATGCACATCCAGGATGGCTTTGACAGGCTGGGTAGAATCCTTCTTCTTAAAACATGAGCTAAATTGTGTTGAAAGGGATATAAAAACATGTACATTAAAATTATTTTTTTTTAGCGAACCAACCTGGCATGAGGTCTAAGCAAGGGGAACAACACCTCGCACACATCCAGGTTGTTGTAGTAATTGACCTTGATGGTTTCCCTCGCCTGATCGGGAAATGGCAATGTTGAGTCCTCCTGAAAATAGGTCATCACAGCTTACATTTAACTGGCTGAAAGGACATCCACAAAAACAGTTCAAGGGAGTGAATGTAAATAATATGATAGCAAAACTGTGCAGTAGTTGTGTTTTTTTTAAACTCTGAATCTGTTCATTAAAACTTTTGAAGTGACTGTAAGCTAACTAACAGTTGACAGACTCTGACATCACTAAACGAGACGAGTGAACATATTATTTTGCAGGCTGCTCCACATTGCTCTTTGAGTTTTTTTTCATTTATTTTTGGATTTTACTGTAACTGTGATAATGTATATATCTCCTTATTTGTGACAGGTTTGTACATGCAATATCGTTGTTGTTGTTGTAGTTAGCGATCCAGTAGCATCTGAGCGTTAACTCTTCTGCATGATGCCATTCGGTAATAGCTGCATGTCTGTTCTAATTGTTGTCTTGAGGAGTAGAGGCAAATAGATGTGTGGGGTAGCTTGGGAAGAAAACATCACTTTAAATCAGTTAGTTTTCTACAGAAGAACAGATGATGTTCCACTGTCTCTGAGGGGTAGTCACATAGTGCGCAGGCAGCAGACTGCTTTACTCCAATTCGGTTGAGATGTTGGTTGACGGGTACATGTTGTGTTCTAAGTTGGAAGATTATGGATTGATCTCCCCTCAACTCATTGATTGGATCTTTGACCAGTGGTTTATTCATGTGGCCATACATCCTCCTTCCTGTCGTACCTGTGGCCCTATCATTCATCCACTCTTCCTTGAGGTTTGACTTGATCATTTGGCAGCAGGAGGTGTAATTCGTAGGAATTTCAGGCTGAGGGAGGCTAGCTCCTTTCTTTGCCAGAGCATCAGCTCTTTCATTTCCCGGAATCCCAGTGTGGGCAGGAATCCATTGTAGGACTACTCTGACGTGGTGCCTACTTATCAAATTACATGCAATGTCACACCTAAAAAAAAACCCCAGTACAGATGGGACATGAGACACCTAAGACAAGTCAACCGGCTTGCATCAAACTACATCCCAGATGATATGCATACGTATACATATGTACAAAACAACTGAGATCAGACTCAGATAAAACTATTTTAGTTGAACTAACTTTCTGTTATAAATCATAAGGCAAGCCCTCTTTCTTTTATTTTGGGCCCAAAGTCTGGAACCAGTTACCACTGAACATTTATCACTTACATTGTACAGGATGGCAGCATTGTTCACAAGAACATCAAGTCCTTGGTAGGTCTCTTTCAGAAAATCTCGTAACTTGACAATGCTTTGGTGGTCACTGATGTCCAGAAGATGGAACTTAGGACTAAACCCTTCCTTCTCCAAGACCTGGACAGCTGCTCTTCCTCGTCCTTCATCACGAGCTGGAGTTGAAAGAAAGAAAAAAAAATGGGCGCATCTATAGTGAAAAGTACACAAGTTTCAGAACCAAAATGTTCCCCTCAAGATTAATTGTAAATTGTAAAAGTTATACACCCCAAATCACACAATTTAGATCATTTAAAAGGCAGCATCATTTTGGAGAATAAAAGTCTTAAAGATAACGATAATAAGATGAACGCCAGAGTGCGTCGGCACTGAATTATTTGCATCTGAATGCAGGCACCAAAAGACAGAGCACATACACAAAGAGGGCAAACTATTTGTTTTGGTAAGTGTTTTACGGTGTTCGCAACTGCATATGGTCACAGAGATCAAACTATGTTTAAAACAAATTACTCAGGCTTAAACATAATAAAAATAATAATAATAATGATAATAAATAGCATTTGTATAGCGTATGTCCCCACTCGAAAACAAGCTCTATGCGCTTCACATTAAGTTATTACCCCAGCAGACCATAGAACACTCAGAAACATTCTCAGCTTCCCGCTAGCATACAGTGCAAGCAGCCAGTTAAGTGCTCAAATACTAAATAAATAAATCATAAAACACATTCAAAGTGACAGAGGTGAAAATGAAAAGAATTTCAATGATCGTGAAGAATTTTAGTATTTATGAAAAAAGTAATTACATCAAAAGAAAAGAATTTTAAAAAACCTCCTCCAAATGTGCAGATGTGGATGTAAAATATTTAACACTGGTACCATAATGGTCACTTTAAAACCCAAGTTCAAGTGCGCTTATATGTGCACAAAAAATTTAATTAGTCAGGGGAAGCTTTGGATGGCAGGCAGGTTTGCGGACACTTTTCTGCCCCTACAGAGAAAAGCGCTGTGGTAGAAATGACCAATATTTTTTATGTTCTTCGTGACCATGAAGCATCTGTGGCTAATCAAGCGGGTGTAGGCCACAGAATGCAGGACGCAATGAAAGCAGTGAAATGTTAGGTAAACACTGCTTGCATTATCTTGAGTTTCTTCAAGGGATATGTCTTTCATCATGGTGAAACCAGGTGCGTGTCAAAATAATGAAATTGAAGACACGTTAAACATTTTTCTGCCCCTAGGGTAATTTTCATTTTATTTTATTTTATTTTATTTTTTTATTTTTTTTTTTGGGGGGGGGGGGGGGGTGGGGTCAACACCTAATATGACCATTTAAAAACACATTTTGTGTGGCTTTCACTTTTCTAAAAGTTGATCAAAGGCATAAAAATAAAAATTTCTAGTTTCTAAGGATACCAAAGTTTGGAAATCGAAACTTTGTGCCGTTATCTCAGTAATTTTACTTGTGACACCAGGCGACCCCCCACCTCATTCAGTCGCAAGTATATCTCAATTTCAAAATTAAGATAGGTACGAATTTTTTCCATCAAAGCAAGGCTAACGAACAGGCTTTAAAATTATATTTCAAAATCCCTCAAAATTGAAGAGCGCTTGATTTCGCCTCATGTCATGACATTTCACCATGATGCCACAAATATGTCTTTCGTTTTCATTTTAAAAATTCCGCCTTCAAATGGCCATCTACTGTTCCTTGATTCTAAAACTGAACACTGTTAGGGTAACATTCCGCCTGAGAGCATCCATGTTTGTAACATTGACCTCATTGCCTCCTTACAATCCCTATAATAGTTCTAAGGTAACATCCCCCAGAGAGCATCCATGTTTGTAGCATCAACCTCATTTCTTCCTTTAAATCCCTATTATAGTTCTCTACAAAGATAAGTCTATGCTTCATATAAACCATAAATTACGATATATAAAACAGTTTCTATGAGATGACTTATTTAAATCAAACTCCATTCAAACAAACAAAAGGAGGTCGATTTTAAATAAAGGTCTTATGGTACATCAGAACATAGCAAGCAATAGTTACGTTCCTTAGGCCTACCTGTCAGTACAACATCTCCTTGAAAATCTTTGCAGAGACCTCTCACAATAGCCAAGCCAATGCCTTTGTTGGAACCTGTAACCTGATCGAATAGAGAGTAAAATATTTTATAAGGTTTTAAAAATAAATTATAAAGGACAGTCGAAACTGCCTCACCTCCTCTACCAGTCACCACTCGTCCAAGCCAATCACCTGTATACACAACCACTTCCCATTTCACCCCTTGCATTTAAAAAATAATAATGACACTGTCAAAGACCTCCCCCTTTTGTCAACCACTTTTGTCTTTGACAAGTAATCGTTAATCTTGGACAACTTTGCCTGTACTCTCTGACTGGTGGATTTTTTTTCTTTAGGGAAAGGGAACCAAAAACAAGTCATCCTTGCTAGTTTTATACTGTTAACGTTTCTTTTTGCTTTTTGGGTTTGCTTCTTTTAAAGCAGTAAGATTACAGCAAAAAAAAAGGGCTCTGAGTTCTGTATCGTTATACAGAAATAGATTTGTGGAAAGTCATAGTTTCATCACTCTCTCTCTCTCCCTTCCCCTCTCCTGTTCTGGATGGTAAGCACATTACCTAATGCGATCACATGCTTTTGCATTTCAGTTGAATATGGGTTACAACAATAAGAGACAAATCACCAGAATTTAAATCACTGAACAGACTGGTTTACACATAATTAATAAATTTTCATTTGACTGTAGTGTGGTAAAAAATTCATGGTGCAGCTTTTCCTCAAGTATCTCTTTAAAGGTTGAATCAATGTCACCCATACTTTGCACAGCAGTTTGTATCAATTTGTCTTAAACTATATTTTTTTTCCATGACAAATGAGTTGGAATGAAAAAACTTTTCTTCATAAACTTCTATAAAATACAACAAATCTTCGTCACATGGAAAATGGGAGTGTATGCAGAACTTCCCGCTTCTCACACTCATTTTGCATGCATAAATAGCCTATCACTGCTCACCAAATGCTACTCTATAGTGGCAAAACTTGTTAAGGGACTCTTGGGGTCTAGATGTTATGGTGTTCGCCTCTTACTCAACAGGTTACTGCTTCGAAACCTGACAGCAACAGAAAATTTTATACTCTAAAATGTTTTTCTTTCATCTCCTTTCCTGCTCTTTAACAATGTTCTGTCGTCTGCTTTCGTCTCCACTTTCTGACCCCACCCCCAGCCCCCTTTGCCCTGGGCTCTGGACTCTTTCTGCAGCCTTTCTACTGCTACTCCTTGGCTCCTTCTTACTGCTGTCTTTCAGCCACATCTCTGATATTAGGGTGGGGTAAGATCTAACACCTAGCCCTCTTGGATAAGGGTGAATAATCTCAGAGGTTCGTTCAGGGTGCAAGTTGCGCACATTAAAGATCCTTTAGTAGTTCAAAATCGATAAGGGTAGGCTTTGGCCACCATGAAGGCAAAATTCAAAAAATAAATTTATAGCTAGCTAGCTAACAATTTTTTAGCACTAAAGTGTGTTCAATAAGCCTGCATAGTATTGAGATTAGAAAAAAGGAACGACTTGCTTTTAATGCGATTTCATTATCACAGTTCATGGGATGCAAACCTGTTAAAATCTATAGAAACAACCCAAAGGGAGTTTTAATTAACAGTACACTCAAACCTGCCTTAAAGGAAACCTGTGTAAAACGGAAAACTCTCTTAACGGAATCTCCCCGTTCCCCTATTGATATATTTTTTATTCCTCTTGAATTACCTGTATAAAACGAAAACCTGTCCAGCACGGAAACAAAAATAAACATCTGCCCCTCTCAGAGGGTTTTACCTGTCTGAGACGGAAAATGCTTTGCCCATTCAGCCCTGGTTTGAAACAAAACTCGTAAGTTTGGTTCTGCCAGCTCTAAACTGAATGCCATCCCACCGGGAGAGGAAGGGTAGTAGAGCTGCAATTTGGGGGTAGGTAGATGTAACATGTTACCCTATATCTATGTGATCCCGGAGCAATGCAGATTGTCAGGGTGGTGTGGGTGTGAAATCTCAAAAGTGCCAGTGAAAGTGCTCGGGTAGTGAGCCATCATGGAAACTTTCCAGGGTAGCCAAAAGATAGAGGTGAGGAATTAGTACAGGAGTGAGTTTGACAAATGTTGCTGCCCTGATCGTACGACCAGCTGAGGAAAAAGTTCCTCGATTCGTTGTTACGTGGAAGTGAGGGGTGGCATTGGTTGACTGTGTTTGTTACACCCATGGGTGGGGGTAAGGGTGGAAGCAAAGGATGTTCAAACGTTTCTGTTTTTTTGTCAAACAGTGGTCCTATATGACATATTATATGAAATGCAAGCGGTGGTGGTAATTGGATAAGTAAGACTGACATATTTCATTATCAGAGAGGATAGCAGTTGAGAAAGGTGTGAAGTTTCGACCACAGCTTGCCAACCGGACAAGTGACCCTTGATCCCATTGAAATTGGCTGGGCCTTTGAAACAGGTCCTCACCATCTCCCCCTAAATTCCCCTCTGTCTTTAAGACAAACATTTTTTCGGGCTCCCTTGCAATTCAGTCTTACACAGGTTCGACTGTATTTACTAAGGAATTTTCTAGAATGCAGAGCCAGGTATTCGCAAAAATATAGATCAGTTAAGACAAATTGATAGCGTAGAAACAAAGGTCATGGCGCAAAAGTTGGAGAACCTCTATGTTTGATGGTTGAGGCCAAGAAGATTTGATAATGTTGTGCCACAAAGTTTTGACCGCACTGCAGACTGAGGCTGAATTTTTAAACTGGCTTATATGTATCGCTATTCTAGAGGTAGTTCAGACATATATCATGTTACATGCTGATGTTGTTCCTGCATGGGGTTTTGTTGAACTTGCAGGCTTCGATACAAATAAACAACGGAAAATGAAATTGTTAAGTTTTCATAGACAGAGTATAATAAATAAAGAGGCACATTAGACTCTAGTTTGCAGGTCAGTTTGGAAGGGAAAAAGAACTTAAAAGAAAAAAGAAGAGTTCTTGAAAAAAAATAGGAGAGGTCGCGTAAAAAAAAGGGGCCTCTATTAAAAAATCAAGTCAGGATAGCCTTTTAGTACACTAGATATCTCTACATACTGAGAGAGAAGAAAGTATCAGGTTGGGTTTGAGCCAGACCCAGCAAAAAGAACTGATTTCAAATTTTAAGGGGGTGGACAGGAACAGTGAACAGGAAAGCCGCTACCTCTTCACTCGGAGCGGGACATATAGTCATATGTGTAGATTCTATTCCATAGAGATATTTCGTATCAGAATCAAAAAAAAGAAGAAAGAAATGACATGACATTAGAATCTAGATCTAGATCTATATCACATCTAATAACATCACAATTTGGAGTATTTAAGATAAAGATTCTAAAGCAAATACACACAAACACCTCACTGTCACCTTACCACTGCAACACGTTTCAGTGACATCTCGGCGAATTCCTCACGTCTTTTGCCTCATGAAACAAAATGCCGGGACAGGTTAAGTTGTATCAACAATTTTTCAAAAATTTGCCAACTCAATTCTTCTGTTCAGCAGTGTTCTCGTGTCCCGCGACCCTCTCTTTAACTTGAGCCAGCTTGTCTTTGACGAAACTTCGTTTTTCAACTCTTCAACTGTCCGAAGACTATATCTCACTCAGTCTGTATCAGTTGGAAGCGTTTGGGCCTCCCCCTCTGCTGTTCTACTCTTCACTCTCCGCAAGTTGATGAGCTAACACTCTTCGTGTACTTCTAGCAAAGATAGTATCTTCGCCTTTCGCAGGGAGTATCTTTGCTTCTAGGCCTAGATCTAGTACTATAGTATAGCGAGCGGCTAAGTGTAACAAGTAACAGTTACAATGTCAACAATCACTGACTATTATTGACTATCAGCCATCAGCTGTTGGAGGCTGTATGTTGCTAGCACAGAATTCTACTTGCTAGCCATCGAGAATAGCGGCCCTTTATGATGTACCGGTGTTTTCTTTTATTTTCTCAATGTGGATTTTACGCCCCCGTCGATACAATACTCTGATAATTTTAAGAGAAGGGCTTTGAAACCTGCCAGTCAGGGCCATTCAGGGCTGAGAGCTTAAGAGATACAACATCAAAGCAGAATGATTGAGACACTTGATACCAATCATTCCCTTAGGGGAATCAAACTCGGGTCTCCTGCAGACAGCGCGAATTTAAACGTCTATTACAGATGGCCTATGATAGGGGGCCTACACCTTGACAGACGCTGACTGGTATGGCGCCGATGTGTGGACAACATTGCAAGATAAAAATAATAATAATGTTGCCTATTCTTTTTTTTTTTCTGATTGAACAGCTAGATGCTAATGCTTTAACTTTTACAAGAGAGAGATTTCTTTTTTACTCCTTTTGGTAACAGTTTTACGCGCTCGCAACTGCATGCCGTCATGTAGATATTTATATTATATTTACATATATGGGTGGGTCACGGTATATTATTAATAAGCATTTTAAGTTTAATAGGAATTAATTTTGAATTTTGCCAGGGTACGTTGGAATCAAAGCCTGGCTCACATATCTATTTTAGGACCTCCACGGGATCTTTAACTTGCGCACATGAGTACGGGCCCTCGCCGAATTTGTTCCGCCCCAGGCCTGGGCTTTCTCAGATTGAGAAGGCCTAGTTCCGCCCTTATCCGATAGGAGTAATATATCTCTAAAACAATATTATAATATTATTGTGAAAGTCCGTCACTTTGGCCGCCTAAAACTTCCAAAAAACTAAACTTTCGAATTTGACCAAATTAATGGTGGTTCAGAATCAATTAAAGGGTGCAGTTTAATTGAGAACCCTGAAGTCACATTGTAGATTAGTTTTCAGTTTTTCATTAAGTTTCGTTTAGATCTCATCTTGGGAAAGTCCGTCTTCTAAGACACCAATGTCAACAAAGTAATATCTCTCTCTCTTGCCCTTTTTAACTCCCACACGTGGAGCATAGGCCATTTATAACAACATTTCTCCACCTGAAGCTTGTCCTGTACATCCTTTTCTAGCTGTTTCCTTATGATGTCCCCGCCCTTTCCATTCCCGCTTGTCTTTCTTTCAACCTGCTGAGTGCCTTCCTGCCTCGTACATTGTACGAACATTTCCGGTGTACTGTACAGTTCTTCTGGTCGACATGCAGGAGGTTTCTCGGCCTTAATGGTGGCTTCCTTTCGGCTTCCACCTCCCTGCGTCATTCTTCCCTCTTTATTCTTTCGATCCTCTCTTCGGTGATGAAGGTCCTCGCCATCTTCCAGAACTGGCGGTCGAGTTTTTTTTCTGTTTCTTTTTCTGTTTGTTCTTTTGCTGTTGATGTTTTTGTAGCTGCTTTTTGTTCTACGGGAAAGGGCTGCTAACCCTTCGCCCAATCGACCTTATATTCGCCTTCTACGACAGGCGCGGTACGGATACAGGGTCATTATATTCTTTGCTCCCCTGTCTCTTGGACAGGGCCAAGAGAACCACACGGGGGAAAGTAATTAATGCGTTCAATTTTACCAGCCCTAAGATGGTGTGGCTGAAAGACAGCAGTAAGAAGGAGCCAAGTCAGATAATAATTATTATTATAGCAGTAGCAGAATATAAGGCTGCATTAAATATATAGTCATATGGAGCCCAGAAGAGGAGCTTATTTGGGCAAAAAAAGAAGGAGGGGG